TCTCTCTCTCTCTCTCTCTCTCTCTCTCTCTCTCTCTCTCTCGATGCCCCTCCCCCACTCATGCTATCTGTGTCTCTCTCGAAATAAACCTTAAAATTAGAAGAAAAAAAAGATATAAGATTAAAATGAAAACACGTGCTTTACTGAAAAATAACATGTAGTGTGAAATTTAACAATTCCCATTTTCCACTTTCTTAAGCCACATGCAAAAAAAAACCCAGCTCACAGTTAGGTTTGCTGCTCTCCAGAGGAATTTAGGACAACTGTCATGAATCTGCTTGTGCAAAAGTCCTCTCCAAACAAGTACTCACTTTTCTGCTTACTTCCAAACTATCGAAAGAACAGGATTGCAGTTGGAAAAGCCAAATGATTTCTGTCTTTACACACACCAGAATGTGGGTGCCCCAGCAACAAATCTGCAAATACTGTTACAGTAAACCAGCATATACCATCTATCAACTTACCCAACCACTAGTGTTGTCTATACCCGCTCAAAATAATGGCTAAAAACTGCTACTAACTGAGCACTTACTATGTGCTGGGTCCTGTTCTGTGTCACGTGTACTCACCAAGCTCTGGCAGAAAGCCTTCCAACCCTACTCCCCTCTGCTGAAATCAGGGACCGCAGAGTGAGTGACCTAACTCAGTCAACCACTTAATGGGCAAGTACAACGTAAAAGACTACATCGCACACTAGAAGGAGTAGAGGATGGAGAAGATTTTCCTCTCTTCCCTGGAGAAGTTTATAATCTAGCAAAGACCTCCATGTCAAGAATAAACTAGAATGTCACAAGGAAAAATAACTGAGTGGCAGCATCAGTCAAGCACTGTGGGGGAGAGTGACGGGAGTTCATCCTGAAAGTCAGCGGAAGCTTCTTTCACAGAGTAGCAGCATTTAAGCCAAGCCTTCAGTATTAAGGCTTTTGTCAGGAAGAAAAAGGCGCAAGGAACTGGACACACACTTCCATAAGTGGCAGAGGGTCTAGGGCTAAAATACAAGATGGCGAGAGTTGTGCAGTCAACACAGAGCTTACAAGTGAATTGAGGCCAGGTGGCACGGGTCTCGGTGATTTCTTTCCCACTAATTCCCAACTGGTGGCAGTGTCTCCAAGGTGAAGATCTCTGTAGGGGAAGCCTACCGTCAGAACAGAACGAGGCCACAAGCCTCAGGTGTGCCAGGATGGGGGGGGGGGGGGGCGGGGACACTGAGAACCCCCGTGGCGCACACTTGGCAGATGGGGGGCACGGCAGGGTTTGAGTCCCACTCTGAGCAACTCTGCAACAGAGCGCAGGAGGACCAGAGAGAACAGGAGGCCAGTCGGCAGGCCTACAGCAGCCACCTACACAAGGACAGCAAGGACAGGCCACAGGAGCCGCCGAGGAGGAGACGTGGGGAAAGGTCCGCCGAAACCCTGGTCAAGCAGCAGAAAGCTCAGTTTCCAGCCCCGGTAACAAGGAGGGCAAATGCGCTGTGCAGACACCCTGTCACCTTCTGTGGGAGCAAGGACGTGCAGAGCACGAAGTACAGCCACTTTAAGTGACACTGCAGAGCAAAAATAGCACGGACACGACTGTTCTCATTTCACAGAACAAAGACACTGAAGTCCAAGAGAGATTTCACCGACTTGCCCACGGTCACACGGGGCCAGAGAGGAGCCAAGACACCAACCTGAATCTTGCAAATCCAAGTGCCCCCCAAAAAAGCCAGCTACCTTTTCTAACGTAGAACAAATCTCCAAAACAGAAACAAAAGCTTTAAAGAAAAAGCGTGTAATCTGCTGCGAGTGCGGTTTTATTCCAGACAGAAGAAATACTGTGAAACTTGTGTTCTTGGTTGTCTCTACCCAAGAGACGGGGTGCACGGACTTGAGAGCAGGGCAGGCTCATGGACCCCGAAAGTTCGGACACAGAGAAAGGCAGCTGTTTGTACTGTGTATAAAAACACCACCTGGTAACTGAAAAGAAAGATCTCAAGTGTTAAGTATCTTCAAGGTAGTACAACTACATTTTGAATGTCATGGTTGGTACTCTTATGTCTGCTTATTAAAATACTTTGTAACAATGATATACCAGGAGGATGACAGGCTGGGACTTTATTTAGCAAACATTTGGCCAGTTTAAGGTTTAAGCCCCTCAGCAAGGGCGGGGGGCGGAGGGGGTGTAAAATAATGGGATGGTCACCACAACCAGGGCTTAACGTATACGATACAATGTGACATAGGTAATAATGAAAGTGAAAATAGAGGATTATGACGGCAGCAACAAAAAATGCACGTGGACAGGACTGCCAGAGGGTCCCAGAGGACATAAAATCGGGCATGGACCTTTAAAAACCAGAGGGGGCAGGAATGAGACAGAGCATCCCAATCAGAGAAAAGGATATAAGCAAAGGAGGGAGGGAGTAGCTCGGCACATTCAGAGAGCCAAGCAGAGTCCCATTCAGTGGAACACTGGCGAGAAGACATGTAAAGTTCAGGGATAATGAGGGCCAGTCCCAGGGGCCTTGAACGTGACGCTGGTGCGTCCCGAGTCTAGGCTCCAACAACAAGCAGTCTTCACTTTCTGAGCCAGAGACTGGCAGTATCAGATCTGTGTTTAGGACACAGGACTGCAGGCAAAGTGTGCACAGGAAGGGGTGGGGAGGAGTCTAAAGAGAAAGCATCAGCCCAGAGAGGAATCTGCAGTTTCCGCACTAAGCAGTAATCTAATTAATATTTTAAAAGGAGAGGACCGTTGACACAATTATCTCGCATCTCCCCTCCCCTGATCATCCAAACCACCCTGAGACAGGTATCGCCATTCCTTCCATTTTACAGACCGGAAAACCAGCTAAGAGGCGATTAACTGCCCCAAGTCAAATGCTGCTAAAACAGGAAGAAAACCCAGGCACACTTTGCAAAACGAAAAGAATCCTACTGCTTTCAGAAAGTGCCACTGTAAAAGCAGAGTGATCTATAATACCATTAGAGAAACGCCAAAAACCCATGTAATTTTCCTACAGGTTTGCAACTTGTGTAACAAATAAGCTAATTACCCTTAAAATAATTACAGACTTGCTTCATGTTCATGCCACGTTAAAGACCTGTGCTTTTCTTTAAAAAACAAAACCCTTTAATTCCACTCCCTATGGAATTAAATACTTAAAAGTAGTATTCCCCCCTCCATTCAATGTTCCAGTGGCCAAACCCGTAAACAGGCTAACGTAACAACTAACGCAGGTGCCCAAACTGAAGCAGTAAAATACTTTTTGAAAAATTAAAAATGCATTATTTAGTAAGTACAGCGATTGAATCTAGTGCACAGTAAGTAATGACTGCAAGGATCTTACCTAAAGGTATGCAAAGGCACAATTCCGGAAAATGGTTTGTCACCCAAACACACACACACACACACACAAGGCCTAAAACGATCCTGAGACCCATTTAAGAATGGATCAACCCAAAGGAACCGAGGACAGAATATTTGACCTTCAGGACGCACAGTGGGAGATTCCCCCCACCCCCTCCTGTAAGTTCATAGTCTAGGAAGCGGTCAAGGTGTTCTGGCACGGGTCTCGCGCTGCACAGGAGAAATCCAGCTTGGGGATTTGGCTGTACAATTTTATCCACAGCAACATCACCTATTATCAAATCGGCAGGGCCCCCCCCCCCACCCGCACCCCCTCATCAATCTTCTACTACCGTTTTGTTGTTGTTGTCTTCTAACAAGCTAAAGCCCAAAGATGTAAAACGCGTCCTCAGAAACTTGGGACAATGAATCCAAGTGTCCAACCCAGGTAATCAGCAGCAGCAACCACAATTAAATCGTTCCAAGGAACCGCACGTCTCTTCCCCGCCTAATCGGCTGTACCTTTTACCAGGTTAAGCCTCTGCACCCTGCCCACAGAGGCCCCAAACTGGAGGGCGGCGACAGAGAAATCAAATTCTGCCACGAATCGGGGGTCTGCTCCAGGACCTCGGCAGGCCCTGTCACCTGCGCGCCGCCCGCGGCACGCGCGGAGACCTCGGGCGGCAGGCGACATTCCACACGCGACCACCCCGTGTCCCCAGCCGGCAGGCGCGGGGAGCTGGGCAAGGCCGCCGCGGCCGCGCGAGCCCCACCGGCGGCCCGAGCCCGCGAACTCCCGGGGACCCGCCGCTCCCTCCCGCGGCCGTCACCTTCGCCGGACCCCGCGCCCCGCCACTGGTTATGTTAGAAAAAGACTTGT